CAATCATACTTTCAAAAATTTCAAACTCAGGCCAATTGTGAACTGTTGCACGTGTTTAATTGCTACTTTGTGAGTCTTGTGATACATTGAAATTCTAGGATGTGGTTGTTTGTGCTAATTGGTTGGATGAGAGATATTAATAGTACAGGTCACAAAAAGGGAAAGTGAACAAATACGGGGACCAGACGAGCAATTTCAGAAAGGCTGATTGAGTTTCCTTCTTAGTGGAGATAGTGGGGTAAAACCCTAATACAACTTCAAGTGCTTACAAATCAAGTCCATCTCTCCACCTCCACTTTGTGATCAGTTATCTCTCTCGCTGCCTCTACAATGGGAAAGTCAAAGCAAACCGCAGCGGCAACCTCCTCAGACAAACAAGTCATGCATGCAGCCTCTGCCTCAACTCAGCCTCAACTCTCTGACGGAGAACCTGAACCATCTCCTCCTCTCAACAATCCAGCTCTCTCAATGGATCTTCCAGCCGCTACTGAGGAGCTTGAGTCATTCAACACTGCGAATGAAAAGGCCCAATCGGAGGAAAGTGATGAGCCTCATGGTAATTCGCACCCCAAAGACTCGACTCTCAAGACACGTCCTGTGCATGTGACAGCGACTACCCCAGAGGACATCATACCAAAATTGTCACCCTCTCCAACTGCATCCGCTTCAACAAAAACTCGCGCTGATTCTGCATCTGAGTTGAAGGAAGCTGACCTAGAAGCGACGGACGACGGGTCTCAGGACCAGGTGGATCTAACCTTGGCGGTTGATAACAAAGATGAGGATGCGGTGGAGTTGAGCTCGTCATCTGAAGGATCCCCACCCATCAAAGCAAGGACCAAGAGAATTATGAAAAGATTGGATCTTCCAGCCTCAAAGAAGACCAAGACAGGAGTAGACAGTGTCCATGCGTCGTCTCAAGATGTCGCAGATCCTCCCAAGGAAGTCACTGTCTCAGACCGTGTGAAATCCAGAAAGAAGGGAGGTCATAATGCTTCTGCATCTACACCAGAGATCAAGAAGAGATATGATCAGTTTAAAGATCGTAAGCTCATTGCTGAACGTAGTGTTGATATAGAGGAACCAGATCAGTGGGGATATGTTGATGTTATAAAAAAGGGAGGGATGTTGTCTACTGTGACGTCTCTTGTGAGCTATGTAGAGCAAGTGGTGGCTGAATTTTATGCAGGTCTACCAAGTGTTAAGGTGGAAGATGATGATAGTCGTGTTGAAGTACAAGTCAGAGGTCA